GAGTGTTTGGAAAAAAGCTGGCGTTGGTGTTACAGCGTGTCTGTATGAAATCTGGCAAAGCGCCGCCGCCTGGAGGGGTAGTCCACGCCTTCTGTCCAGGGCCTGTAAGTTCTCGTCCGCTCTGACGGCTAAGGCTTACAGTGCTGCTGGACAGGCCGCTTCTGCATCCGTCTAGTTGCAAATTGTAATCCACGAGATTAGGTGTACTGTCTTTTTGTGAAATAAGTAATATCTCTGTTTTATCCGAATTTAATAGGATTATTAAATTATTGGTCATCCAATCTTTTACATTTTTAACACACTCTGTTAGCTTCGATAATTTAGAAGTTTCATCTGGTCTTGTTGAGATATATAGTTGAGTATCATCGGCATAACAGTGGAAACTAATCCCGTATTTTTTAATAATATTACCAAGCGGCAACATGTATATCGAAAATAGTAGAGGACCTAGGACAGATCCTTGTGGCACTCCATATTTTACTGGTGATAATTGAGATGACTCCCCATTTAAATGAACAAGGTGGTAGCGATCGGACAGGTAGGATCTAAACCATCTTAAAGCCTGTCTGGCAGGAATGAACCAAACCGAAGGATTTCGAAAGGCAGGTATACTTGCATGCATAAACATAGAGCTTTTACAGTAATATTTAAGACCGTTCACTTTGCCCTGTTTTCACTTGGTGGTAACATACAGACAGACAGAGCTAAACACATGGGTAAATGGGGACCAGGGCAATTTTCTCATTCTTAAAGCACATTCGGAGGTGGTCAGGGCCACATTGCATTTGTAGTATTAAAGGAATAATTCACCCAAAAATGAAAATTTGCTAAACATTTACTCACCCTCAGGCCATACAAGATGTAGATGAGTTTGTTTCTTCATCAGAACAGATTTGGAGAAATGTAGCATCACATCATTTGCTCACCAATGGATCCTCTGCAGTGAATGGGTGCCGTCAGAATGAGAGTTCAAACAGCTGATAAAAACATCACAATAATCCAAAAGTGACTCACACGACTCCAGTCCATCAGTTAATGTCTTGTGAAGTGAAGGGCTGCACGTTTGTAAAATCCATCAAGATGTTTTAACTTCAAACCACTGAATTTCTCCAAATCTGCTCTAAAGAAGACACAAACACAAGTATATCTTATGGCCTGAGGGCGAGTAAATTCTTTAGCTAATTTAAATTTTTGAATCAATTACTCCTCTATAACTCTATCATACCTACTGTATCTTACTTATGCAACATGTTGAGTTTTAAAACAGCTGTAAAATAAAACCAAAGGCTGATCGAAAATTTGGGAAAATGCTCATTTAGATGCACAAGAAGAGTAACAATACACTGACTTTTGGTGCTTTGTCAACAACCAACTTAGTAAGTGTATGAAGGCACAAAGTCAGACATTACTAGATGTAAATTTGAATTTGTTTGCATTTATTTCAGGTCATCTCCTGTCGCTATGCCAGCTCTGACTGCTATTACATTGATGTGAAAGGAACAACTCAGGAGAACATCAGCAATGAAGTGGAAGAACTTGCAGCCAAGAAGTATGGAGTTGATGATACAGTCTCCTTTCAGGTGTGTTCACAGCTTCAGATAAATGCAAAGTTACTTTCATGCACACATGTGTGGTTTATCATTGCAGTCGGGTTCGACGTGCATGTGTTTGTTCTGTGTGCAGGACACCTGGGCTTTGCGGGGACGTCTGGTCCAAGGAAACAGAACATCAATGTGATTGCCAGTGCTCATCTGTCTGCTTAGAGAGAGAACGGCTTCACAACTGGAATAATTAACAGCACACAGCTGTTTGTTAATTATTTAACAATTTCCCTAAAAACTGATAATTAAATATGCTTTCACCAAAAAGTACAAACTTTGGCCATCAGGTGGCACTGAATGGAATAAATCATGGATCTCACTTTCTGAATTGCCATCTGTGCCTGGGACAAGCAGTCCTGATACCGATCTAATATTAATGAAAGCCAGACACTGTAATATTAGCATCAATGGATATTGGTGTGGAATTTTCAGAACACTGGCAGTAGCAATGTAAGAACATTGGGAATTCATTGTCTTGGATTGATACTTCAGGTGTTCCTGAGAGTGATTCCTGCAAGTAATTAGTGAGGTTATTGCTTATGTTGAAGTACTTTGATCAGAATTTGAGTTCACAGCGGACACTGGGAAAGACACAATTGGGAACAGCAGAGCATTTAATCGCCCTCCATTTGAAATATCTAAGATCCAGCTTTTTGCTGACGGAAATGATGGTTTTGAAAGAATCGGAGGCAAAGCAATAAGAGGCAAATGTATTTTACTGTTAATTCTGCTATATTAAATGGATATGTGTTTGATCAACATTAGATCAGGTCTAACCGTGCCTTTTAAACTTTATGACACTACAGTAATAGTACATTTGCCTTGACAATAACACTACTTTTGGAGTTATAATCTAATTAATAAAATTCAAAGTTTCTACCATATAATTTTGCTTAATGTAAATAAATGCACATTTATTTTAAATAAGCTTATGGCTGATAAAGTTTCATATGTGAACGCCAATGTTTTACAACAAATGTAATGGGCATTTTGTGTGTTATACAGTATATAAATGTATATATAATGTAAATAAACCTAAACAAATTTTTTTTCTGTGCGCTCAGGAAAATTTTCAAGCAAATTTTTCGTTTATATAGCTGCCACCGCTTGGATTAACCATGAGTGGTTTTCCAAACTCGATTTTACACATGTGAGCAAAATACACAATCTATTTATATATTTACCAGCTAACTGCAATCCAATTCCTTGATCGTGCTGATTAAAAGCAGAATAAGTGGGCATTTTAAGAGCAGCCAAGAATGCTTGTTTGTTTCTCTCTCTGCATATGCACATATAATAAATACCATACGTGCCCAGACTGGTCTCCATTAAAATCAAATTGCTTTTAGCAGAAAAGGTAAATGCGCTGAATGAAAGTGGCTATTTAAAGTGGTCGATGGTACAAACTCCCTCAGACCAATTCAAACCACACCCTATCCAAAAACTTCCACAGAAATAACGATGAAGTGGTAAGTATGGTTCAACATAATTCACAGTTGAGAAATTGCCCTGGATAATTCACTAGATTGAGCTTAAAGTGATAGTTCATCCAAAAATGAAAATTCTGTCAACATTTGTTTTACCCTCATGTCATTCCAAACCTGTACGAAGATGTTTAGCAGAATGTTCATGCTGCTCTTTTCCATACAGTGAAAAGAAATGGGCTGTCAAGCACCAAAAGTGACTAAAAAAAGCACCATAAAATTGGTTAGTATTTCCAAGTGGCCCAAAACAAACCACTTTTGAATGTACACAAGAGCAAATGAAATCTGAGTGTTACTGCAGCTTTCCATCCTCCTTTAGAGGATAATAAATATGGATCTGGAACGACATGAGGGTTAGAAAAAGGTTTGGTGAGCAGTTCCTTTGAGAGGGAACCCACTTTTACACTTAATGGGTGTTTTGGAGAATGGCTGGAGTCGCTACTGTTTTCATGGGGTGTCTGCCTTATGGAGACTTGGAACAGAAGAAAATACCTGGATGGTATCCAGACATCCAGGAATCCATTTACACAGCATGGAAAAATGCCTCATAAATGCACATGCACACCCTATAGCCAAACCAACCTAGAAAGGGCAAATCGCAGGTTTTCCTCATAGACATTGATACACTTTGAGAAACGTTGAGAAGCAGAGACAGAAGCCAATCTAAGGAGTGACATATAGCTTTTAACTTCTCTCTATCTCTCAGCATGTCTGTTTCTCATTTCCTGACATTGTCTTTCTCTCTCTTCGTGTCCGTTTCACTTTAGATACAGACTAGCTGAAGACTAACTGATCATTCGTGTGTATAATAATATAAATATCCAAGCCTGGCTCCAGGTGGGCCTCTCAGTTGTTGTTAAAGAATGTTCTTAAGGTTTGCAGATGTGTAGTATAAATACTATATCCAACATATGACAGTCACCTTTGACCTGGATGTTTTTTGTCGATAAAAAAAAAAAAGTGAAAAAAAATTCACTTGGGTGTTCAGTACAATTTGACAACTCCAGTACAACTTTTCTTTAAATCTGGTGGCCTCTGCACCCTCGGCCTCATGGGATAGCAAAGTGTCCACTGATTCCACATCTCAGCAGATGCAGTGATGCTGTTTGCAATCTATTTAGAAGTGAAGTATGCATATTTGGACACAGGATTTGTCTCTCAAACACAAAACTCTCACTGGCCTTGGAGCAGGACATTTATTTCTGACACTCTTGGTAAAGAATGCCATGTGTAGCACACACAGTAACACATAAAACAGTGATCCGGTTATTATTATTACTCATTCTGCAGAATTATTCCAACCCTGGAAAGTTTTATCACACAAAAATTGTCAGTTTATAGATAAAGCATTGCTGAACAGAGATGATATTTGCAGATTATTAGACAGACAGACATAAAGACAAGATAGATAGATGGATCGATAGATACTGATCTCAGTGGAATGCACAGGTTATTATTTATGCAGACAGGTGAAAGTGCTGATATTTAGTTAATCGGCTTATTCCTGATGAGTAGCTGCCTGAGGAATCTATCACACAAACTTGATCATTTGTTTTATTGGAATGGAAACCTGAAGCTAGACTAAACCTGCCAAAAAGTTTGGACAGTAATGGTCAGTGATGATAGAGGCTGTCATGCACACCGAAGGTCTGATCAGTGGGTGTGTGCTGGGGTCCGTGTCTCCCTCTCTCGCCCCTCCTGCGTTCCCCTGGGCCAGTGAAATTCCAGCTCCCCCTCCTTTCCTTTGCATTCCCTCTTCTCTTTCTCTCTCTCACACACTCAGGTCTCAAGACTCTCTGCTGAGGTACTGATACCTGCATAAGACACACTCATTTTCTGAAGGATGGCCAGGACTCACACTGTCCTGCTCACACTGCTGCCCACTAGTGCAAAAAAAACAAAACAAGGTACAACTATGGTACCAGGTCTAAAATCTATGGTAGTACGTATGTTTTTTTTCTTTGGTTAATGTATTCAAAGCTCTTTCATTTCTTGATGTTCTTTAAGAAACACATCTCTCCCTTTAGTTCTGGTCGGGGTTGAAAGTGCAGCCGTTAAAGATGGAAAAGACCGTGAAGCTCAAAGTGAGTTCAACACACACACACACACACTCCAAATCCAAAAACCCACACACTCCCTCCTCTTACTCCATTGCTTTAGCAGGAGCATCTAAAGTTTTCACACCAGCATCTGATGCCTCAAACTTCTTCAAACGCCGCAGTCGCAGATCCCCAAGAACTTATGAAGAGTACTATGGTGAGTGCAGTAAAACGGTCCTAATGTTTTTCATCTCAGTTCTGCTTTTCTCATCGTCTTTGTAGGTTTAATCAAAATGAACAGACAATTACACTCCTAATATTTAACAATTAAGGAGCTTAAAGTCAACTTTAAGTAATCTCCCATTAAATTGTATTCACTTTAAATTTATGCTAACAATAGGATACAGATGTGAAGAAATGAGTGAACAGACTTCTTTAACGTCATTCTCTCAGATATTAGAAGTATGAGCAAATTAACTAGAAGGAACACTAGGAGGTAACACTTTACTATAAGGTTCATTAGTTAACTACTTTAGGTAACATGAACTAAGAATGAACAATACTTTTACTGCATTTATTAATCTTAGTCAATGTTAATTTCAGCATTTACTAATGCATTATTAAAATTACAAGTTGTGTTTGTTAACATTAGTTAATGCACTGTGAACTAACATGAACAATGAACGACTATTTTTATTAAAGATTAATAAATATTGTAATACATGTATTGTTCATTCGTGTTAGTTAATTCTTTAACTAATGTTAACAAATGACACCTTATTGTAAAGCGTTACCAATAAAACAAAGACTTAAGTACATTTTACAAAAAATACTATTTCAGTCTTTCTACTTCAAAATTTCATGTTTAGTGTTTTCTGTTTTCTGTGTGAAATTTTACTTGCGATAAAAAATAATAATAATCACAGTTTAACATAAAACACCATACATAAAACTAACCAGAACTGTAAAAGCAATATTTATTACCAAAATCAACAATTTACAGTCTTTATATCCCCCCCTACTCCTTACTGTAATTAAATATGCAGATAAAAGAGCCGATAGGAATTCGACCCTAACACAATATGCTAATTTGACCAGACCTTAACTGAAAAAGACAAAACAAAAACGATTTCATAAAAAAAAAAAAGCTAGATGTACAACATGCAAACCTATTATATTTCTCAAGCCCACACAACAAATTTGTTTGTTTTTTGGTATTGAAGAATATACATTTCTTTATGGAAACTTATTTCTGCCATGGGCCAAAAATATAAAGGGTCAAAATGACGAAATACAAATTCAAAATTTTGATTCTTTTCTGGCTACTCTGAGTTTATCTCCCCAAATTTTTTTTTTCTTTCATGGAAAGAATTTTTTTTTAAAAAGGTCATTGCGACCTTTACTCACAATTCATACTTTTTTCTCACAATTGTGAGTTAATATCTCGCAATTTTTGACTTTTTTCCTCCTCAGAATTAAGAAAAACTTTCCCTTAATTCTGAGTTTACATCTTGCAGTTCTGAGATTTTTTTCTCAGAATTAAGATATAAACTCAAATTTGTGAGAGAAAAAAAGTGTCAGAATTGTGACCATAGAATAAAGAGTCACAATTACCTTTTTTTTTTTTTTTATTTTGTCTGGAGTCAAAATTACAAGTAAAAAAATCCATAGGAAGTACGTTTGAATATTATCTTGGACAGTGGGAGGCTCGCAGTCAAAAACATTGGGCTAGAAGGTCCAACAGAACAATATGGAGCAGTGTTCTCTCTCTCCCACAGACACACATACATATGGACACTCGTCCAAACGGCATCAGGCTGTCCTTTACTCTGCCAGTCTATGACTGCAGCAGTGAAGGCATGGAAAAGTTTTACTTTAGTGTATTTTAAATAGTCAGCAATGTGTGTGTGATGGCACTGCAGGTTGGAGGAGTTAAAGCAGTTGGGGCTCGAAAGTGGAATTTGCAGACATGAGCTAAATTAACTTCCCTCACTATAGATATATATACTGTATATATATAGAGAGAGAGAGAGAGAAACCTAGATTATTTTTGGCACTCAATTTGCTAATATCTGTGAGCTGCTGTCAACTGGTTTATGGGAGTGTGTGTCACCCTTAAACCTGTTTATGTCGGACAGTCTGGAGCTTTTGAGGTCTCTAGAGATGAAAGCAACCCGAAAACGTGCAGGACTGCAAGAATAGATGCTTAACTGCTCTTGTATGATGTTTCATGAAATCCCATAGCAATTCTACCTGATGTGTGTCCATTTTGAGATTATCAGCTTTGGTTTGTCATTTCTAACCTCTACTGACAGCTGTCGTCAATGAATACATTTTGAGCAAGAATGTAACAAAAATGTGAAAGTGCCATCAGTATATATATATATATAGAGAGAGAGAGAGAAACCTAGATTATTTTTGGCACTCAATTTGCTAATATCTGTGAGCTGCTGTCAACTGGTTTATGGGAGTGTGTGTCACCCTTAAACCTGTTTATGTCGGACAGTCTGGAGCTTTTGAGGTCTCTAGAGATGAAAGCAACCCGAAAACGTGCAGGACTGCAAGAATAGATGCTTAACTGCTCTTGTATGATGTTTCATGAAATCCCATAGCAATTCTACCTGATGTGTGTCCATTTTGAGATTATCAGCTTTGGTTTGTCATTTCTAACCTCTACTGACAGCTGTCGTCAATGAATACATTTTGAGCAAGAATGTAACAAAAATGTGAAAGTGCCATTGAAAACCCATACTGGACAAATACTTCTATTTCAAATAAATGCTATTATTGTGACACTGAAAACTGGAGTAATGATGCTGAAAATTCAGCTTTGCATCACATGAATAAATCATTTTAAAATATATATTTTAAATCGTAATAATATTTCACATTATTTCAGTATTTTTGATCAAATAAATGCAGCATTGGGGAGGATAAGAGAAAACATTAAAAAATATTTTTAAATGGTATCTCATTTACACATTTATTGTATACTTAAATCTATGCTTTTTTTCCCACTAACTTTTAGCGGAGCAGAGAGTGAAGATGGCTACAAACGAGCGAAGGAGAGAGCACTTAGAGGAACAAAACAACGAATACGAGAACTATTTAGAGGAGGAGCGCGATGGTGAGACTGCTCTCCCTGTCTGATTTTCTTAGCTTCCAGAAAAGAGAAACAAGCTGATCAAACCCTCCACAGGATAGAGTTCCCAGACAGGACTGCTGGACTAATAAGAGGCTGATGACAGCAGTGGCTCTGAGCCTCTCAGACACCCTGTTTCTATCCAGTACACTAGATAGGTGACATTACATTCCTTCGGTGTTTTGAAAGTAAACGGTCAATTTGGCGCAGTCGATTCAATTTAATCAAAAATGCAATTGATCCGAATACACTGATTAAGAAGATTAGTTTATGAATGATTCCTTACCATGGCAACCATAGTTCATAATTCTAGCTAAAGCTCCACAGTTACTAATTATTGTTTCTACATAAAAAATGTGTTAGATTTTAATTCCATTTTGATGATAATCGTAGCTAATACCATGCTACCGCAGTAAATTGGTGGAACCTCCAAGACTAAATTGAGTAGTAGATGAGTTTGTTTCTTCATTAGAACAAATTTGGAGAAATTTAGCATCACTTGCTCACCAATGGATCCTCTGCAGTGAATGGGTGCCATCAGAATAAGAGTCAAAACAGGTGTTAAAAACCATCACAATCCTCAAGTAATCCACACCACTCCAATCAATTAATGTCTTCTGAAGAGAAAAGCTGCCATGTCCATCATCAAGGTGATTTAACTTTAAACCGTGCATATTTCTCTCCTGATTCAGACAAGATGACATTTTCGCTGAAGAAAGCAATATCATGAATAGAAGATTTTTATTTTAGCTGGAAGCAATGGTTTGAAGTAAAAAAAACTTAGATAAGTCTTAATGATTCATTTGTTTCTTACAAACACATCTCTTCACTTTTCAAGATGTTATTTGATGGACTGGAGTCGGGTGGATTAGTGTGATGTTTTAATCAGCTGTTTGGATTCTGACGGCACCCATTCACTGCAGAGGATCCATTGGTGAGCAAGTGATGTAATGCTACATTTCTCCAAATCTGTTCTGATGAAGAAACAAACTCATCTACATCTTGGATGGCCTGAGGGGGGAGTACATTTTCGGCAATTTGTTATTTTTGTGTGTACCGCTCCTTTAAAAAATGGTCACCTTTTGTCATTTAAGATATAAAAGTCTTTGAGAAATGGATCCAGTTCTAGCTGTTGTCTGTCTTTGCATCAACAGAACAGTACGAGAGAACCAGAGGGAAGAATGAGCAGTGGAGAGAATTCCACTATGATGGGCAATACCCACGATACCCTCACCACCGCCACTATGTCTGAGCACATATGAGCACATGCAGTGCCTTGGAAAGTGGATAACCATCATTTGGGGGATACTTTCATAACACAATATAATTATTCATTAGCACTTACAGATTACCTGCTCTTAATACATGTATAATAAAAGGGTTCGTGTTTGGAATGTGACAATTTTCCCCTCTGTTCTAATTGCTTATCTTTACTCTATTATTGGATTCTTTATCAACACATTCATGATTAGTTTGTGATTTTAAGCTTTTTTCAAAGAGACTCCTTATTTTCTTCTTCAGTAATCAGCTGTCACCTGACCTCCCTTTTTAATAACTTTTGGTCTGTACTGATGTGACTAAAGCTCTTCTCATTTTCCACATCAGTGAGGATTCGATATAAAACGTACCAACCAGAATTATGAAAAAGAGAAAGTAGAAAGCCAATAAAAGAAAAAAAAATGTAAAAGACCCAACTTTTGCACCATCTTGTAAACTCATAAATATGGTTTGCGTATATATATATATATATATATATATATATATATCCTCCTGAGACCCAGCTATGGAGTTTTTGCCTCTGTAGCGGACATTATATTTTAGTGAATTTCTGAATTTCCTCACACGTCACAGATTTAAGTCTGGAGTCTTGTTCAGAGCACATTCATGGCTTTCCAGAGATACCAAATGATTGGATGTTTCCTTCTGTGTGAGACTGGGCTCAGGCTGCACACAGGACAGCTGACTCTACTTTAAACTGTTGAGGAACATGGACTGTTCCTCTCCGCGCGGCAACAGTAGTTCCCCTCCAATTTTGGGTCCCTTTTTCTCCTGTGAATGATGAGAGACAGGTCAAAACTGGAGCGAGTTACCAAACACGTGCTAAGATAATTAGATTGCAGAGATGCCATTGAAAGACATTCCAAATACAGTAACAAATTATAGAATAACTGATGACAGAATTTACAAAATAAAAAAAATAACGCAGCCACTCCGCACTTTTTTTTTGCTGATATATGAAACTATGTAACAATTATAACAAATATCACACTGCTGTAAAGCAGCTCTAAAAAGTCCAACTAAACATGAAAAAATAAACTAAAAAAAAAAAAAAGTGTTAAAATGAAAACCAAATAATAGTAAATAAATAACACTAAAATAATACAGAAGTTATTTTTTAAATCTTGTAATAAATTTATTATTCATAATTATTTTAATGGGGTCATATGATGCTTTTTTAAAGATCATTATTTTGTGTATTTGCAAATGTCTTTAATTTTTTAAATAAAGAACTTAATATTTTGAAAATTTTCACTATTAATATAAGAAATTAAAGTTTTACATTTATTAACATTATTAAAAGTTTTTAATTTAAGGAGTTTTTAATTTAGTAAATAGTTTAATAAAGTTAATAAAAAGTTTTAACTTTTTATTAGTAACACTAATAAAACATTTTTTTTTTAAAGACAAGCAAAATGTTCCTGGTATTGAAAATATTCTTTAACAAATGATGGTGCACTTTCCCCAAACAATACCTTTGCGGCTGAGAGGCTCTTTGATGAAGGTGGAGATGTATCAAGGAGGATGTCCTCTCCTTCTGAAAAGCCACGGCCCAGTGTGGGCACAGGAGGGCCTGAGAGACGAGACGTGAGGCCAGGCGACCCTTTTGGAACCTCTGAGGCTGCTTTCGGGGAGAGCAAGGGACCCCTGCTTACATTTGGCCGGGAGGGAGCACTACTCTGGAGCACCCTGGGAAGAGAAGACTTAATATTTATAGTACATATACTATAGGGACAGGTTAAAAGCATTTATCATTCATAAGCACAAATTATTTGCAGTTTACAGAAGTCAGAGACTACAATCACCAGCAAAAACTCAACACTAATCAATGTATCAGCTTCCAAATGTAACGCAAAACAAAAACAACGAGTAGTCAAAGTCATATTTAATAGAACAAATGCCTCTCACCTCTTCTGAATCTCTTCCGCCCTCTTCTTTCGAGCCAACATTCTCTGCTGGTGCTCTTCTTTCTGCTGCTTGAGAAGGTCAGACGCTGATATAGACTGAACTGAAGCTGATCCTGCAACAGCTAAATTAAATAAAGGCAAGTTGGAGATTACATTTGCGTGGTTATTAGTATGCACTGAGGCTGTACACATTTTGTTCAATTTCTCAGAAAACAAGACTTTCACTTTTAGATAAGCATTTTTTTCAGTGCATGCAACATTTAATGCCATGACTTTACAAATGTAAGACTTTCTGCTCTGATTTTATACCTTTTTAGGCCTTAATTTGTGTAACTTTTTAAGACCTTTTTAAAAGACCCACAGAAACCTTGCTTATATTTCAGTGACATAAATGTGCTTGCTTTCAGTTTATTTCTTTGCATGATAATTGTGGGGTGGCATTCGGCAGACATCTGCTGGCCCAAAACAGTACAGCAACATCAGAGAGCATTCATATTTATTAGAAGTGCAACCAGCGCTCAAATTACATAAAACGCATGAAAACCAACAGCAACGTCGAATCTGGCATGACGGCCTATGGTTTGAATAAGCGTAAATGAGATTTGAAGTTATCTTACAGGTTTGAAACAACATCAGTGTGAATAAATGGTGACAGAAGTTAAATTTTTGGATGAATTATCCCTTTAAAATTACCTGTATTCGTGGCTTGTCCTATATGCTTTTTAATATTAAGCGCTCCAGGTGTCGGCATAGATATCAGGCCTTTGAAGTCATCTGAACAGCCCGACACCTCTCCTGAATTCAGAACTACATGAAGTAAGACTTGATTAGAAAACACGAACACCAGCACAAAATCAACAATTGAAGAAAAGGAAAAAAAAAGTACTAAACACGTTTACCAAGTTTGTTTGTTGGGATGGATGCCAAAGCAGACTGTATAGTGGGTTGTTTCTTTGGCTGTGGGGCAGACCTGTCAAAATAAAAGATTCATGCAATAATTTAGGGTTTGGGTGGATTTAAAGGGAGGTGACAGTCATAAAAAGAGGCAGTGAACTCACATTGAGGGTGCACAGGCGAGTGAGGACATGCCCCCGTAGTGGAAGTCAGATTGGCACAGGCGCTCCCTCAAACTGCTCCGCCCCCTTCCTTTACCAGGGGCGGAGCCTGTGAAGCTAGACTGAAGCTCCGCCCTTTTCGAGCTCATTTTCTTGTGCTGGGCTTTAACGTGGTACTGGCAGTACTGGCATTCATACTGTTAAAGCACACAGGAGAAATTAATTGGCCAACTGTGAATTACTTTAGTAAAGCATGATGTTTGGACAGAGACTCACCAAGTTGACTAGCTGAGTGCAAGAGTCTCCGTTCTTCTTTTTAGCCTTGCAAGTGCCGAAGTCCATGGCTTCTCCCACTATAAGGACCTTCTGTGGGTAATCCACTGTCAGGCAGAGCTGGAGAAAACAACAAACACCACATTACTGTCATTAAAATGAACATGAAATGTTGACAACCTGTTTTACTTCCATAATTTTAAGAAATATAAAGGGGTTATGCAAAATATTGTTATTTTAGTATTTATATACGGTGTTACTTTAATATTATTTATGCATTATAGTACAAACCCGATTCCAAAAAAGTTGGGACACTGTACAAATGAATTGGGTTTGTATTTAATAATATTCTGAATTAGGTTTTTTTATTTTAATTTAAACTTTAGTAATTTTTGTGCATTTGTCATTTATATTAGTCAGTTTTTTAAAGGTGCCATAGAATGGAAAACTGTATTTACCTTAGCATAGTTGAATAATAACAGTTCTATACATGGAAATGACATACCGTGAGCCTCAAACACCATCGTTTCCTCCTTTTATGTAAATCTCGTGCATGCAAAAGACCACTGAAAAATAGGCGAATCAGAACATAACACCGACAGACGTTACAGTCGGGATCACTAATAGTTACCAGAGGCGGACAAAGTACTCAACTCCATTACTTGAGTGAAAGTACAGATACTGCTGGTCAAACATTACTCCATTACAAGTAAAAGTTGTAAAGACAGATTTTTACTTAA